CATATATATCTTCAAAAGTAAATCACGTGGGGCATATCGAACTACTTACAAGTTAAAGGCATAATATAATTTGCCCCCCNCCGCGGGGAAGGGATCTGTGCCACATCCATGTGCTTTAACAGAACCTACCAGAAACATACTAGGGTCCCGCGTAATCATGAAACCGTTGTCGTACTCGAGCATGGATTCTGTGCTCAAACGCACTTTCTTGTAGCTGGCTTACAGTCATGTGACAGGGTCAAAACGACAAGTTCAAACATCTAAAACTGTATGCGGCTTTAAATCTTCCCAAACTTCTTCGATATTATTGACAAAATATGGACTTTTGTCAACTGATTACCGGAATAAGAAATCGTGGGCTTGAGCACAAAACCTCAATTTGAGCATGAAAACACTTTCATGAATACGGGCCCTGGAGATCCGCGGAGACTGTGGCACGGGCCCTGGAGATCCGCGGAGACTGTGGCACGGGGGCTAACAATGTAACGACGATATTTTGTGTTTCACGTCCTTTATCAACTATATCGCAATCGACTTTCATACATAGGGACGTCAGGACGATCAAAATAGGATCCACCTACAAACTTTCTTACAGCTTTCTTATCATTTTTGGAGAGGGAGTAGAAATACACTTGACATCGTTGGAAATCTTAATAATCTTTCAATGATCTTCCATATCTATGCAGAGTGTTTTCTCCGTATCTTATCATTGAGGGATGGCTTCTAGTTTTGTTTACCAAATGTTGATCTGAACACCTACGTCTAATATATTATTTTTATTTAAACATATTTTATTGCCCTAAACTACACAATTTACACAATTTCTAAAAAGCCATTACAATAATAATGAATTACCGTAATAAATTATATATGATGCATGATAGAACATTGGCAAGTTCAGATGCATACATTCACACGTCCACACTCCTACACTTGCACACTTGATGTAACATACAATTAGAAGGAGAGATGGAGAGGGGGGGGTAGAGTAGGAGTGTGTGTACAGTGGGGAGGGGGAGGGATAGAGAGTTCAAATATTGGTTAGAAATTAGTGACTCAGTCGAACGTTATACAAAGTGTTAATATGTAGACCATGTGCTTGCTCCATGCTAACACAACTAGTGATACACGTTTCACTGTTCATAGCTCTCTACTTAGCAAATATCCATCACTTCCCGTGCTGTAAATTCTTCCCAATGTTCAATCCTTGTTTTCTGGTATTTCCGTTTCCACTTGTCCGTAAACCGACAGGGAAAGGCCAAGCACATGGTACATGATTATATGTTATATAGTTGCATCTTATTACCTACCTATTATATCAGAGTCAGATATAAATAGAGAAAGTGAACTTTTTAGAAAAAAGAGAGATTGGGAGAATATAACCAGATATGTTTTATTACTTTTATGTTCAAAGTGTTTCATGGTTCACCCTAACGTGGTACAGTTTTGATTTGTTTTATCAAAATTTACTGTGGTAAACTTTCTATTATAAAAATGATCAAAAGTTTCCCACGCAAAAATTTACCGTATATGGTAAAATATTGAACAAAAATTTCATCAGAAGAGTCCGGATGCTATCGGCCATCATACATCAGGATGTTTACCGATCGAAGTCCAAACATTGGCTCTTATGTCCCTATGTCTGAATCAGGAAGTCTCCACCGTGTTACAACTAATCTATAACCGATTCCGAGATCTGTACAATCCATCATACATATACAACTGTTATGATAAAACAACGTAAAAATCCTATGATTTCAACGAACCATTGTTGACAACCACCTGCGGTAGTCAAACATTTCTGACAACCACCTGGCACCAACCATGATAGCCAATCTTCCTTACAACAACTTATGTCGACAACCCCGTGCGTTAACATTAACTACGGTAACTAACACTACAATCAGCCACTGTCGACTAACACGTGCTCCCGCTATAATAATTTACCTCTGTTACAAACCAGTAACGCTGAAAACACTGTGACGTGCGCACACTAAAATAAATAACCCTCCATTACAACTACTGATGACAACCATGTACGCCTACTATAATAATAATAATTCCTATTACACTGTCACCTACCTAACTGTAATAACCAACCTAACATAAAACTAATCACTGTTGACAACCACGTGCGCAAACTGAAATAACCAACCTCATTTACACAACTAATCAATGTTGACAATCACGTGCGCAAACTGAAATAACCAACCTCATTTACAACTGATCACTGTTAACAACCATGCTCGCCAACTGCAATAACCAAACTCATTTAGAACCAATCATTGTCAACATCACGCGCCCCAGCTGTAATAACCAACCTCCTTTATATCCAATCACTGGTAACAACCACGCGTGCCAACTGTAATAACCAACCTCCTTATAACCATTTACTATTGACAACCACGCGTGTCAACTGTAATAACCAACCTCCTTATAACCATTTAATATTGACAACCACGCGCGCCAACTGCAATAACCAACCTCCGCTACAACCATTCACGGTTGACAACCACGCTCGCCATTTGCAATAACCACCCTCAATCACAATCAATCACCGTTAACATCACGCGCCCCAACTGTAATAATCAACCTATGTTACAACTGAATATATATAGGTATTTACTGTGTGCTACCAATGAAAGAAAAACCCTCGTTGTGGTTAGTATTATCAGTAAAGTCTGCACACACTATTCGTATGCTTAATGCGAATTAGTAAAATCATATCCTTGTGAGATTGCATTGCATTACTTGTCTTATATATGTAATATTATATATTAAATATTTATTAAATATTATAAATAAATAATGCTTTAATGCAACACCAATGTCGTATTGACGAAACATTTAAATAAAATAATTGTTATAACTGTCAACCTAGTTCACTACCAATCATTCTCAAGTTACAACCAACCAATCTTGTAACATACCCCATCTACAACATTCCCATGTTGGCTTTCCGCGTGTTACAACCAACTTAACCTGAATTTGTTACATTGATGCAATCCGTAAAAGATTGGAAATGCCAGTATTTGTATATGTTAGGTCAGATGTCTCTGCACTTATACATACTTGCCAACGTTTTACAGTTTCCATGGGGGAGATTATGCGCGATAGGAATTGAAAGCTGTCTAATTAAATATATATGTATACTATAGGGAAAACATACACTTTTAAATGGTATCTTTGAGTTATTCTTATAGATGAAATCATCAGATCTTAGAAAATGGGAATAGTTCAGCAAATTCACTGGTTGAAAATGTAGGGTCCAAACTCGGGAGTCTCCCTCCGAAATAGGGAGAGTTGGCAAGTATGCTTATACGTACACGTATATGGTTTCTATACATATATATATGTGTAATTTGTTCCGTTTAGACTTTACAGTTGTCCATTTTCGCTGTCAGACAGATAGCAGTAGGCTTCAAACTTGGAGATGATTTAATTGTTGGCGTTGGTAGTTTTTCTGATGCACACAGTTACGACTTTACTTGTTCTCCTGCGACCTGTTTGTAATGCATAGGTATTGGTTGTCAGTGCAAGGCTGTCGAACAGACCGAAGGGAAGTAACTCTTATTAGTTGTTGCTTGATCTCATAGCTTTTTAATTCAGTTCAGACAATCTGATTTTTAATAACAGATACGTATCCTTTGTCCCCATCACATATAAAGTTTACAAAAACCTCGATTAACTTTGTATCAAATACATTTCCCCTCCGTCTTTGTACGATTTATTTCGGTCACGAAAAGCGGTCGTTTCATAAAAAAATGTTCACGTTTAGTCTTTGATCAATGTGTTATGTTTCCACTCGATATTTTATAAAAGTGAAATAATAAAAGCAAAATGTGAAACACATAAAAGATTCAGTTACAAAGCTGAATTGTACTCTAAAACATCCTTGATCGCACCAGAGTTCTTCGGCATGAGGAGTAACACAGGTATTTACTTACTTACTGCCCTGTACGCCCAGTGGCGTGTAGGGCAGCACAGGTATAGCAATACATAATTAAGTAAAATACCGTTTTAAAAAAAATGGCCCCTCCTTCAAACTTATGTCTCCGTCCCTTGGTTGTCCCAATATTGCACAGATATCACCATAAGGAATAATAAGCTTTAATTAGTGCAGAATCTGGACACACAAGACAAAATTCCATGTATTTGAGATTGAGGATCCCTTAAAAACGTCAGCATATGGATTTTTGAAGTATATTTTATTTAAGTATGGTTAAAAATCATTGCCAAACTTAGCGATGCGAAAGTTTGGACTCAGCAAATTTGTATAAATTATGTATTGAATAATTTGAAAATGTGGAAGTGAACGGGTGAGAGGTTTGTATTCTAGCCGTGGACGTCAAAGCCTATATGGACTATTAAAATCTCAGCGATTCCTTTTTGGAAATCTATAAGGGCGTGTACACCTCCTGTATAATAACATTAACGGTATATGTTATATGGGTCAGCATGAGTTGTTTGTAACTGTGTAGTTTGTGTTGTTTTCTCGATGAGGAGTATATATGTATAGAGAGCACCGTGACAAAAGAGACGTACCGCATAGCATAGCTCTAGTTTACTATAATATTATGGGATCATGCTGTCGTTATTACATAACCTGTGTTGCAAATCTGTTTTTATTTAGCATTATTTGTTCTTCCACATTCGCATATATGTTTATGCAGACCAGAGACGTATATATTACGTAATATATAAGTCCCTGTGCACACCAACTTCTCAGTCTTCCAGGGATCTAACTCTTTGGATATTCTAGCATAGTTGTAACAGGTGCTTGGTATTTAAAACGACTTATTGAAATTTCAAATTATGATACAAATAATAATAATGCAAAGCAGACCCTTTTTCATTTTGTGTTTCTGTTGATATTGTTTAACTCGATTTTTTGTTATCGAATACGTCTAACTCTCTGGTAAAAAAAACACATGCTGCTCTAAATACGAAACTAAAATCTCATCTTTACCTTTCGTGGTCTCGTCTGAAGTATCGTTGAAATCTCGTTGACCTGAATTTGTGAAATTTTCCATGATGGCGCCAAATCAATGTACAAACTATGGTTATTTATTCGTTATAACTGACTGGGAAGATCAAAATTGACGATTCGTTGGAAAATTTGTAAATCAATTTATCCAACAGAAACCCGTCCAGCTAAATCAGAGGTAAGACGACCATATTGTTCGGTATGTGAATACGTAATGTCAAGGTATGACAACATCGCTTCATAAATGGACGTCTCTATGTACTCGTTTGGTATCAAAATATTTGACTGCTTCAGCATAAAATTCTTGCGTTGTATAACTACCTAGTCAGAGCACAGGCAGGACATAAAACACCCCCTGTGAAGTGTAGAACATTTGCTGAGATTGCATCGGTTCCCCCATTTCATTGTAAGACCACCGATATTTACACGACGCGTGTTTTCCCCCACTATCTTCGGATCGAGAAAATTAATCAGGAAATTGTTTTACTTCAATATCGGGTGGTTATAAAGTGTTGGCATTGTTGATATGTTTATAAATATTCTTCTGGAATGGCTGACATTTTTACCACAATACCCTGGGCCATGAAAAAGTGGTTTTGATTAATATGCGAGGTGTCTAGTGACGCAGGAAAAGGCGGGATATTCAAAATGAATAAATAAACGCAGCGTCAAAACAAACATGCAACTTCCTAAGTTTAATGATAAAAATTGACACGAATTGAAAACTCTATGTCTGTACCACTTAAAGCTCAGGGTCGTATCAATAAAGTTGTTTACTGAAGGAAAGGTCAGTAAAGAGGTCCAGTAATAAACAGCTTTGGACTTTCTGGTATATTTTCTGTAGAATCAGAGTTAGAATCAAATACTAGCCAAGATGAGCAGCAATACTGAATAAGTATATGTTAGTTGCAAACTTTATTTTGCAGAAATCAATATAACAGTAAAAACTGCGTTCAGAAATAACTAAACAAAAATCCTTGACATAATCTATAAGTTATATTAGTTATATAGGTGTTTCATTAATATTTCTGTTCAGAAAGTTATATGTTAATTTATTATATGATACAGGCTATTGTTGTTCAATAAAAACGATAAAGCACACGTACAATAAACATGCAAATGAGTCTTGTCACAGTGGAAACAGGTCATATTCCTACGCACTACAACTTCTACGTTTGTAAACAAAATGGCTGACCAAATTACTGTTTGCATTGATAGCAGAGGCAAGGGGCATTGCGAGAATAAAATTAACCAACCAGTTTAATAAAATCAATATTATATAAACACGAGTATTAGCTTAACACAAATTCAACACCTGCATGTTCAAATTCCACTTGAACTTCTCCGACATACAGCTCTCAATGGCGAACACATGTAACCGGTCAACATCATCAGTGTTCCAGTTTCATGGCAGATTCCACAGTATATTTTCTGGCTCAGTGACAGGCAGAAACATCAAGGTTCACATACACCAACAACCCTCTCCAAAGAAATGCGCTTGTGTAATAGAGTGACAATCACTCCAGTCTCTGTAAAGTGCAGACTTCGATGTGTATTGTAATGACCGTTACCTTGACAGTGCACGTGCCGTTGTGCCAAATATGTGAAGTCACTGCTATTTTAGTAAACGCCAATTCGTTGAATGGTTTTCGTATAAAAATGAATATTAATGTTATGATAATTATTAAAACATTAGTTGATAAAGAAAACCTAAATGATTGTTTGTTCATTGAAATGGTTCTCGGGGGGGGGGGGGGGGGGAGTTTCTGAAACTACTTTTTGTGGCACAGCGAGTTCCAAACAAAATGCATGTAGTGTGTCCTTTCGTCTGCCATCGGTACAATTTATATGGAGGAGACGTGTCAAGAAAAAAACTGTTTCTCGAATTATATAATAAATAAAATCTAACACTCGTGTTCATGTAATATTGAATTTATTAAACCACTTTAGTAATTTCATATGAAATTAATAAACTCATTCAATAAATTCAATATTACATGAACACTTGTGTCAGATCCTCTATGTAATGTACACCTGAAAGATGTGAAACAATAACAATTAATGCAAATTTCGAAAAATAAATTAATATATTGTTTACCTTCTTTTTTTTTTACAGATCTCAAAACCTATAATGATGTCATGTAGTTTGTCTGCTGGAAATTCTTAAATACATTATAAAGGTAATGAAAACTTGAACCATGTTGTACAAGTTAATATATGATGTGAATCAAATCACAGGTACTCTGTTATATAATTCCAATTCGCAAACATCAAGGAGTAGTGAACATCCGGTATATAATTCCGATTCGCAAACATCACAGGGTAGTTTAATAACACTTTCAATGTTTAATATTTTATAGCTGGGGCCAGAAAAAAATGAGCAAAATCAGCCACAGGCTGAAACTCAAAATATGAAATATATATAGTGCACTGAATCATCCTATAACTTCACAGATAAACATAGGATTGGTATTATTAAATGTCTATAAACTGTTCACTTTGTAATTGGGATGTTATTATTTTGCTGAGAGACATCCGCAAGTCTCGCCTCATTTGACTCGAATGCGGTATCTTGGCACATTTCTGTCAGATATTCCGTTAAAATTCTCGCCGACTTTTGATTAGCCTTGATAGTGTTCCTGGCAAAAATGAAGAAAGAAAAATATTATGGTAATTTCTTATATTCGTTATGAAATGTAATCTTTAAAAGAATGACTATCTACTTTATCGTGTGTTTTTTTTGTTTTGTAATATTCAGGTTTGGCTTCTGCAGCCCACAGAGGAAAGGGATGCCGCCAAATAAAAGCAAACGTCCATTCCGGGATGAAAGTCCTGGTATGCATTGTATATTTATTTGAATTTTAAAATTCATGCCCACAAAGATATTAGATAAAAAGATAATATTTACATTTTGGATTAACTGGCAGGCTAAAAAACAACAACATGTCTTTGTATAGTTATATTCTATAGCTACCTGCTCGTATTTATACTGCCAGCCATAGAGATAACTTCAAAATTTCAGACAAGCACTGTGATTTGTTTAGTCAGGTTTGTTCTCCAGAGACACAATGTAAAAACTCTTAAAAAGGTATAATTATCTATACCTACTCTAAAAATCTAAACAATAAGATGTGATACGGAAAACATTCACTTTGACTTATAGGCTTAATAGTATTTATTAATATCTGGAATATGTTTTTTGAGCACATATATATTGATTTTCGGTTTCACACATGCTTAGAATTGACTTGGATGAATTCCTCAGTTCCGCTGACGAGTTATAATTATAACATGTCATCAAAACTGCATCATTTTGTTGTAACCAAGCCAGTTTATAATTGAGAAACTAATTGGAATTCATTGCTCTGACGTTCTTTTTGTACAGACACCAAAAAAATATAAAGAAAAAATGTCCTGTCCTATAATTGTCACATCACGGATTCAATATTTCTTTGTATTTCCTCTAAAATCAGTCAATTTGACGTTTTATGGAGATTCCACCGATATAATTTAAATGTATATTATTGTAACAGAGAAAACACAGCTAAAGGCGAATCTTTGACAAAATGTTCTGCATGAACTAGTTGTCACTAGTTGTCCAGAGGTTTTTCGGAAACTTTTCAAACCCAGCAGGGTATATTTTTTGTTCAGAACAAGATGGTACTAAAAAGCCAAGACCGGATACTGAGGAGGATGAAGATGACAAGGAGTTACAGGATGGAGATAAGAACAAAGGTCACCTATCATGAATTGAATGAATGCTAGTTAGAGTTTGTTAGTGCTGCATTTAAGTTTTAGAATCTAATCAAGATTAAATGATTGAGATACTGTGATTTGCCCATAAATAAATAGATAAGTATTTGAAAGAAATTAATATGTGTGGAAGGGTTGAATTGATGTAATATTCTTTGAGATGACATTGTCTACCATGCGAACAGCATGCAGCCAAATGGTCGGCTTTGGCTTGATTTTGCATTATGCTGAATTTTAGTTCACTGGAATCCGGAATGAATATACATTTTCTGCAATAACCACTGTAGGTTTCCTTACTCCTGACTCATTCGATAAACCTGCTAGAAGTTGGTCAACATTTGTGGGTAATACCCTGGACATTAATTCATTGATCAATCTTCTAATTATGACGTCAAGTTACGGTACTTTGGGACATCATCTTTCATTGTGATGCCATAATATCTGAATATTTTTGAAGAAAAATGTTCTCAAACTTGTGATGGTTGAATATCATGTTTGTCTAACATTCATTAGTTAACTTTCAAATTGTAAAATACACTCAGTAACCTTCGTTTCTTCATTCAATTTCGAAATTAACTAACACAGTAGATAAACAGGATCACCAACCATCACTATATGTATCTAATGAAGTTGATCCATTATTTAAAACCTATGTAATCTGTGTTACAGCCAGCTGCAGTAAGTCTGGGGGAAAGGTGCTGCGTAGTCCCAGTGTGTCCTCCCACAACAAGCCTGCAGAGGTAGGTTAACCCGATTCAGAATTCAATGACTGCTAATGTGATGTAAACTCATCTGAGATACTGCTATTTTCATAGTTTTTGCAGACTAAGTATGTAGGTTTCATATGTGAACACTCAAACTTGTGATTGAATCATTTAATTAAAAGGATTCCACTGTCAGTAAGTGAAAGGTGGATGACAAGTGAACGTTGAATTAGGAATAGCTGTAAGAATTAATGTTTCTGTATTTTCCTCTTGTGAAAAACTGGTTTTGTATTGCAGTTATTTGCCCGTTTTTTCACTGCACAGCTTTCATGTCTGATTCTTACACAGTTATTCAGAAAAGACTTGATCAGTGCCATGAAGCTGGCCGACTCTGAGCCCCTCAATGCAGACAATTATCACCCGATCGCTGACCAGTGGAAGCAAGATTGGGAGAAAGGTGTCCAGGTACCGGTAAACTCTGAGGCCATTCCCACTGCCAACATCAGGTCAGTACATGGCACTATATGTGTTAAGAGAAATTGCTTGTTTCCATGGACAACTCGGAAATGTCCTGTCTTGCTCGATCAGTATTTTGGTAATGTTTCTGCTCTACACATACTGATTTCAGAATTAGCCATTATCTGTGTTCCTACAGAATTTGAAATTCATGAATTTTAGATAGGTACTTAATGTGCCTGCATTTGATATTTAAGAAAGACATGAAAAGACTGCTAGAACATATCTTCCCTTCCCTACAACTTGTAAACCTCTGTGAAATAACAATGGAAAAAGTCCCCTGAAGACAGGTAAACCCAGTGTACACCCAGTGTAAACCCCGATAAGACATTTGTAAGTGCCGCTCCTACCTCCTATACCTTTATTTTTACTGGTATCTTGAAACCCCTAATGCTGGTCCTGCCCAAATAGTAGAAAATGGACCATAGTGCAGTAAAGTCTTCTTCGTTTTCTTGATTTTCATAGTAACACATATAAGTATTAAGAATTGTTGACACTGGACTGGATTTTTGTTTGTTTTTTAATTTTCAGTGAAAAGAGCTCTTGGACAAAGACTGGTGGGGACTTCAAAATGTAGGTATTCTACATGAAATTGTTCAGAAAAGTGTCCGCTATATATTCGCATCATTCCTTTTAAATAAAAACACATGGTGAATAGTTTCAAATTAATGACATGAGTGTTTGTATTTGTTGGTAAACTTGTTGGTTGTCTTGTTGTAGACCTCGAAAGTTCCTGCATGCTATAAAGGATGAGAGTTTCCAGCAGAGTATGCACGAGTTTACAGGGATGCAGCAACTGTCCGAGTCTGTGGTCCGTTACGATTTAGACGATCTTGATGTGTGCTGGCTGCAGAAGGCAAACGAGGAGAGAGAAGAAAATGGTAGGATGTGTTACCAAATTTCAGACACCAAGAAGGCCATATGTCTATTAGAGCTACATTTCGATCATCCTCGATATTCAGGGGTTACGCTCACTTTCGCTCTCTACACCACTGGGATATGTCATAGCAAAATTGAAGGCACGAAGATAGCTGTTTGATTGGTCTCAGGTATATAAAAAACCTGACCAATCACTAGGCTGATACCTGTCCTTTGAAGATTACAGAGAAGCGATGTCCGACTTCAAAGCCTATCAAGTTTTACCGTTACGTGATCGCGAAATTCTTTTAATGTTCATCAAAGGATCAAACTAGTCTTCTTGTCTCATCAACAAGGTGGCACACACTGAGCCTTCATTTTTGCTACGGCATATTTCAGGGGTGTAGAGAGCGAAAGTGAGCGTAACCCCTGGATATCGAGGATGCATTACGATACGACTGTGTTAATTTTCAAAATTTCATTATTCACTGACCCCGTTTGTAAAGAAAGGATGTGTATTACCAAGAGAGTTAGATAGTTTGATGTCAATTTTCCCCAAATGTTTTTTCTATTAAGAACTGATTGATGAAGTGTCAATATTGAAATTATTGGTATTTATTCAGATTTTAGTTGTCAAAAGAACTTATGTCAAACCTGCCAACTGATCTTAATATTTCATGATAGAGTTATCTCCCTTATCACATAACCTGTGGGATTTTGTATATTTCAGCTGAAACCCTTATTCATGAATGGACAATGGAAAGGATAATTGAGGCCTTGGAGAATCAGGTATGTATTTTCATGTGCAGCTGCATTAAAGATTTAAACCGTCCCAAAATCAATGCAAAGCTGTTTTTTTTTAAAGTTATGCCCACCTAATATCATAACTCTTTGAGAGTGCATTACATAAGCACACTTATTTATTTTGTGTTATATTTTAATGAATCAAATGATTAAAAAAAATATCTTAATTTTCTTTTTTTAATTTTAATGAATATTATAGGGTTAAATCATTCTTAATTATAAATTATATGTTTGATGAAGGAATGAAGCTGTACACTGTCAGCTATCATTGAAGTTCTTCATATTTGGCATTTTTCTGCGGATTAATGTGAAGATTTACCTGGTTGTTTTCAGTGCTATGAGAAGATGCAAAACAAAAAAAAGACAGAGGAAGGGCTTGGTATTGAGTACGATGAGGATGTTGTGTGCGAAGTCTGTCGCTCGGTAAGTATTAACACAGGAACAGATCCGTATCAATTGTAATGCGGACAACATCTGAGAAATCTGACGTTAATACAGGAACCTCTCCACATCTGTTTAGTAAATTGTAATATGTGTATGAACTTACATTGGTAATAAGCACCTGCTCTTCCTGACTGTTGATAAGGGTGATAACAATTTGATAAATTTTCTTGTGTTTAGTGTATGTGCCAACATTAGGGTTGATTTTATATCCAGTCTAAATGGGGACAACATTTTGATCAATCTGCTTGTGTTAAGGCGAGTTTGCTGACAATTATGGTTTGGTTGATTTGTCATTGCAGCCTGACAGTGAGGACAACAATGAAATGGTTTTCTGTGACGGCTGTGATATCTGTGTCCACCAGGTAAGCACACAGCAAATTAAAGTGATCAAACAGAAAACCTGGCCTGACACTACTGCATGGTTACTGACATTTGTTATTGTTATTTTGCAATGATCATGTTAAATTCTGCTTGGATCATGGTAAATATAATAACTGCAAGTTTCAATGTCTATTGAAAGTTATTGAAATGACTTCTATGATAAACCTGCATTTTGTGTTGTCACAAAACATTAAATCTAAAATGCATTTTGCTTTTTATTTTATTTTTTTATAATTAATACAGTGACTAGAGATTAAGTTCAGGTAATTGACTTACAGGTGCTTTAATTGTCAAAAACCTTTTTTAAGTGACAAATATTATCCATCCTTCTGTCAAATACAGCTAGTCAGATATATTTCCATATCTCAAATTTTGGGCATCCAATATTGGCTACCACAAATATTTCCAATTTCATTTCATCAATTTCAAATCCTTAAAAATGAGAAGTTAAAAAACAATCATGCAAAAAAATTGTTTTGTTTAGGCATGCTATGGCATACAGAAGATCCCTGAGGGGAGCTGGCTGTGTCGGGTGTGTGCCCTGGGCATCAAACCCCGCTGCATCCTCTGTCCCAAGATTGGAGGCGCCATGAAGAGTACACGAAGTGGGACCAAGTGGGCCCACGTGAGCTGTTCTCTCTGGATCCCCGAAGTCACCATTGGCTGTGTAGAGAAGATGGAGCCCATTACCAAAATCTCACAAATACCTGTAAGTTACGTTATTTGTCAATAAAAAGTCTACGCTTTCAGTTACTGTTATATTGGAAGAAATGGATTATCACCATGAAAAAAGGGTTGTATGACTAAGTGGTGGGAAAGCTAGTCAATTCACATTTGTGAGTCATGAAATACCAATGTGAATGCGATGACAAACAGATGAATTCTTTAAAGCTCCTAAAACTCCATAATTAACACATCAGTGTTATTCCCTGTTTCTGGATCAAGATCAGGCAAACCACAAAAAAGACTTTGTATCAAGACGATTTTCAATGTTGACAGGACATGACTAAGCACGTAATATATGTGAAATAATGAAAATTTCATCCCAAAGTTATCTAATGCTTAGTGATTTTCCTTTTTGATTTATTAAGAAAAAGATGCATGATATTAGTTTTATGAAAAACAGATGTCTAAAAAATGATTTTACTCAAAATCTGATTTGAAATTTATTAGTTTTGAGGACTGACATGGTTGGAATTATTTTATTTATTGGTATGTTTGATTTCAGGCTAGTCGATGGGCTCTGATCTGTTGTCTTTGTAAGGAGAGGACGGGAGCTTGTATCCAGTGTTCGGTAAAAGCTTGTAAAACGGCATTCCATGTAACCTGTGCATTTCAGTACAAACTTGAGATGAGGACCATTCTCACAGAAAACGAAAGTGACGAGGGCATTAAACTTAAGGTACCTGAATTCAGATTTATTTTCTTTTTTGGGGTAAAAACAAACATGTCTGACAGGCTGTAAAAATTTACATGTGCTTGCACAATCAATAAAAAAATTAGCACATTCATAATCTGTTAACACATCCAAGAAAATCTCATCCATGAAAGTCCAGGGGTTACGCTCACTTGCGTTCTCTGCACCCATATAGAATATAATTATCATGACCAACGTTAAGGCTAGGAGTGTAACAATGCATCGAAATATCGATAGATTGCAATAAATCCTTCCCAATATCAATGCATCGATTGTATATTAAAATTCAATATTTATTGCCGATTGTTCCGTCAGATATCGATTGTTTCAATAGTTATTAAAAGCATCTTCTCGGAGCCTTAAACATGTAAATATTCCGGTCTGGGAATTCCCCCGAAAATGTCCGAGTCATCACTACGTTTGTTCCGCATTGCTAGTCGCTACACTGATTTAGGGGAGGTCACTCTCTGGATTCAGACAATCTTTCCACGGCGGGCGACATTGTAACTGCTCAGAGGTCCGCATTGAGACCTGACTATGTGAACAAGCTACTCTTTCTAAAGAAGAACTGGAAACTGTATGTTGAACAATGAACAATACTAGTACTGAACTAGAGGCGACAAAGCTCTATAGAAGTGTCATTCTGTTGATTCTAAGATGGACAAATAAAAACTAAAAAGCGAGTTTAAGTTTTAATCATTTGTGGATTTTTATTATTTTTACATCTGTATTTATCAATTATAAACGCAATGACAACTGACAAATAGAAACATATAAACCAGGCAGTAAGTTGTTTTAGAGAAACCCTAGATAGCATTAATTTACATTTGAAATTCGTGATTTAAAACATAGTTAACATACTACGGCTTAATGTTATCTAACCAATAATATTGCAATACTATCGCAATAAAATGTGCAATAATAATAATATTGCAATAGTTTTTCCGCGATAGCAATAATATTGCAATTGTGAAATTGGCCGCAATAGTCACCCCTAGTTAAGGCACACAGTTTTAATAGTAATTTGTTAAGTTTTGATTTAAGAATACAAGGCTGATACCTATCCTTTGAAGATTACAGAGGAGCGACACCCGATTTCAAAACCAGTCAGTTTTATCGTTTTGCTGCTGCAGTTCTTTTGATTATGTACATCAACAGATATAACTTGTTTACCTTGCATCATCCACACAGAGGCGCATACAGAGCCTTCAATTTCATCATGACACATTCCAATGGTGCAGAGAATGTAACTGAGAGAAGAAACCCATGGAATTCTAAAGATGAAAATATTTTTGATTTCAAAAAAATATTTTTCCTTAACTGATTTCAATTTGTTGAAAAGCATCAAGCCAAGGCCCAGACTTTTTATTCAGTGTTTTGCTCTGCTTGGTGTGCTTTGTTGATATTTTTTTAATCCTATAACTTTGCTTCTTAGGGTTATTGTCCAAGACACAGCAAGAATCGAGAGCATGGGAGTGCTGACTCGGACACAGACTCTCCGAGAAAGAGCATATCTGGGTCTCCACGAAAGGAACTCACTGACGAAGAAATTGCTAGAATGAGGGCAGAAAAGTTAAAACAACTTGAGGAGGAGTTCTATAGGGAGATTGACACTGATGAAATATCTAACACCCTGCAGGTGGATCCTGGCACGATAGAACACATAGCAGCCTACTGGAAACTCAAACGCAAGGTATGGCAAATAGAGAATATAGCCATCTACTGTAATGTAAGGTTGGGTTAGTAACACCCATATCAGTCTGGAAACTCAAACGCAAGGTCAGGCAAATCGAGTGTATAGCCGTCTACTCAAATGTTAGGTTAGTAGATCTCAGAGCAGTCTACTGAAAACTAAAACGCAAGGTAGGGCAAATCGATTTTTAATATGGCCATCTACTGTTATGTAAGATTGGGCTAGTAGAATTCATAGCAGTCTACTGGAATCTCAAACGCAAAGTAGGACCAATAGATTTTATAGCCACCCAATGGGTACTTAAATGTAAGATACAGAAGGGCTTGTAGATGTCAGAACAGTCTGCTGGAAAACTGAAAGACAGTGAGAGCTTATAGAACTCATTTAACCTAAAGGAAACTTACATGCTAGGTAGGGCTAAATTAAACTCTAATGCAGGGTAAGGCTTATAGAACTCAGCAGTCTACTTGAAAACTCAAAGGGAAAGTGAAGTTAATAGAACTCCTAGCAACCTTCAGAAAACTAATAGAAATCATACCAAATAATTGTTAAGTTATCATGTTAGATCTACATTTGGTTTGATATCATGTTTAATAGTATTTCTGAAATAATAATAATAAAAAAGAAGAAGAAACGAAATATGGATATGTTAAGTTAGATAATCATGGTAACAAACCATCTCTAATTGGGAAACCTCTGTGTAGGACAGATATGATAGAATTTATTAAACTTCTTCTGTTTTAATCCCTCACTTAATGACTTTAATGCCTCGTGTTACAGACTATGTTTGACACCCCGTTACTGATGCCAAAGACGGAGGAAGAAGACATGCTGGAGAAACAACAGGAGGACAGTCTCATAGCGAGGATGAAGATGTTTGTACAATTACGCCAGGACCTGGAGAGGGTAGGTTTATCATCAGGGTTAATAATGCTCTATATCAGGAACGAAATTGAATGTTGTATAATTGGAGCATTGGTTGTTTAGCCCTTTCACCACTGCAGACCATAATGGACTCATCCAGATGAATGGATGGATTATTGAAGAAAGCTTGTTTTCTCTGTCAGCTTGAAGCTTGGCTACTAATCAGTACATGGAAAAACTGCATTCTACATTTACATTTTCAGAAACGAAAAGAAACAGTTTCTAACATTTTTTTTGTGTTGCAGGTGCGGAACCTTTGTTACATGGTGGGTAAACGGGAAAAGATGAAGAAACAATTCTACAAACTGCGAGAGAATGTGTTTATGGGTCAAGTGAGTGTATTGACAGATAACAAACTGTCGTTAACAGATCGTGAGGCAAAGAGAATTGCAGAGAAATACCATCATCACAGTATCTACGACTGGAAGACTGTCGAAAAGTATGGCTTCAATCCTCCGCCCATAGTTGATGAGGAAAAGGATGAAGACGATCCTTTCCTTGTGTTGGACATTCCTGAGGAACCCCTTCTTCTGAATTTAAACGCAGCACCAGTAGGATCTCTATGTGAAGAAATCCCAAAGATAGACTTTGAATGTAAACAAAAGTTTTCCCAAAGAACAGACAAAGTATGTAAAAAGGTGTTCTCCCAGAGGAAGGCGAAGCATGTTAAAAGGAAGTTGATGAAAGCAGCATTGACTGTAGAGCAAAATGATGAGGAAGAAATTGATGTTGTTTCTGACACTGGTCTTGTGAAAGACCCTCTGAATGGTCTTGACAGTGTGTCAGAACCTGAGCAAGAGGTGACTGAGAAATCACGTTGGCGCAGTCGACATCGTCAGCATAGTCAAAAAGTTGACGTCCAACAGGAAAAGGAAGAAGCTACTGACACTTACTCAGATAAGGGTCCAGATAGTGAATTCAGAGAAAAACGTACAAGGGCCAGTTTCCATGCCCCTGAAGAGGTGACAAACTCTAAAACAAAGACACCAGTGAAAGAGGAACAGGAGTCAACGTGTTGTAGTTTTAATCTTAGTTCAGAAATAGAGGTGAAAACTGAGAAAGTAGATAAAGAGAGTGAATGTGATGTAGTTGAAGAGGTAGAGGATAGTGGTACATTAGTGGGCTCCAGGGAGCTCCGGAGTGCTTCTGTCAAGTCTGAGGCTTCACCAACACCAGAGGAACTGTCAAAACCAAAACCAAATGGCAAGGTATCTGACCGTGTGAAATCCGAGCTGAACCAATATATGAGGATGAACAAACTAGTAGTTCCCGATAAAATAAAGATGAAAGTGCAAAGAGGACTTTTTAGAGCGTCCTCCAAGTCTAGGTTAAAACAGTTAAACGGTTTGTTCGACCGTAAACAAACACGCCTCGATAGTTTCTTTAAAAATGGCAAGAAAACCGACATTGCAGAGTCAGCGTTGATAGACGAGTCGACATCTGTGAATGGACGAAAATCAGAGTCGCGAGTGTTGAATGAGATATCTCCCTCCAAAACTCGTCACTCAGGAAACAGCTGGTACGGTTCACCAGCCATTTCTCCAAAAGGATACAGATCTCCTCCTGTGTCGCCGAGGAGCAGTCTCGGCAACTACAGGATTCCCAAGAAAAGTAGTACTGGTGATGGACAGATTGTGTCTCGGGCAGGGGAAAGTAACTCTGTAACAGGTCTGATGAACAGCTCTCCAAGGCCGGAAACACGGAGTTCACGGCGCCGTGGAGACATTTTAGATTCCAACAGTAGAGACAGTTTTAGTCGTCGTAGCAGCAGGGAAAATTCGCCAGACAGTACAATAAGTCTACAAAGTCGAGGCAGTACCTATCGGGGGCTAGGGAGGGTAGGGGATGGTGATCGTGTGTTAACGAGGGCAAGCTCTCCAGCATCGTCATACAAAAGTCTTGATCATCACACAGACTACATTGATGTGGAAAACTTGTTCCATGAGGCAGACATTGCCCCAAAGCGTGTCACTAGAAGTCAAATTAGTGACAGTGAATGTTCACGAGATTCTACAGACTCATCTACAAGACGCTCCCTGTCTCATGTTCGCAGTCTCATGTCCTGACCAAGGCAGAGATTGGCTCATTGAAATTATCTCTGATGATATTTTTTCAATTGGCGGCTCAACTGAAGTTTTGCATAAAATTTGCAGTTTCATTTATGTAGGAAGAAGATACTAGAGAATCATGTTCAATAATTATTTCAAATGTTTGTCAACTGTCCGAAAATCTTCTTTCAAAAAATCCACATACAGTAGGTATCAGTTTCAATTTGATAATTGATTTCCTCAAGGAATCTATATGGCTAAATAAGTCTTCTGATTTATATTTGGAAACTACAAGCAAACAAATTTTGTTTTTAATTCGAATTACAGCTGTTTCCCTTATACAGTAATGCTTCTTTATTTTGCTTCTATTTGTCAAGAGAATTTGTTGGCATTATAAAAAATTGAGGGATATTTTCAAAAGAACTTTTAAGAAAAAAAGAATAAGGGACGTCAAAACTTGTTGGAGGTAGAATTATATATATAAGCAAGATAGCAAATAAAACAAGGGACATTTAATATATCAAGGTTTTACTCTATTTTTGAATGTCCAGAATTTTTCCATCCATTTACTTTTGTATACCAATCTTTTATAATGAATAATTGACAATCGATTCTGCATGCTTTCTTTGAAATCATGATTCCTGTGAGAGAGAAAACAACCAAATTTAAATTTTAAAGACTTAATAATCTAGTTGATGATCCAGATAATAAATATTAGATTAACGTCTTTAATGCAGAAAATTTTATTTTAAAAGTGTAAGTATAATTATATGAAGTGTCTGACAAATTTCCAATTTTATTATGGTATTTATATTTCTACAAACTTGCACCAGAAAAGATTTTTTATTTATGTAAGCATGCTGGAATTATTTTAAGCCTTTAAGGTGATCCATGTCTGAAATCTGTTGTTTTTTAACTGGCTTTATATATACATGTGTATGTAGAGGTCACTAAATCTGTCTGTGATTTTGTGTGTATTAGTGGAGATTCATTACCTCCAGTATGGAACCTTGGATTTCTAAAAAGGGGCATTGTTCAAAACAAATGGCTTTAATTTTTAGAATAGTGCAAATACTGTATGATACTCCTCTTCAAAACCTGCCATGTTTTGTTTTGTGTTATATATAATAGAAATGAAAGTGTCCTTTCACAGAATTAAAACGAGATCTAATAGGGTGGGGGATGGGGTTAGTTAAGCTCTCTATATATACAGTTAGTGGACTGTGCTTGTTCTACATTGCATTTGAATTTCTTGAAGAAAGTAGGTGACAAAAAAACTGCATCAAAGTTTGGTCCAACTTTGTTAAGTTTTTACCTAGCAATATTTTTTTTTAAATAGTTAATTTGATCTGCATTTATAAAAATATGTTGGCTTATCTGTTATGGTTTTTTGGAGGGGGGAATTCTACAAATACAGAAATTAAAGGTGTCAGAAGGAAATTGGAAATTAAAATTTGAAAATATGAAATGGCCCCAATTGATATATTCTGACCAGAAAAAATAGGTTTGAAATATTGGTATGACCATTGTTTGCCTACCTATATCTAAGCTACCTACCATAATTTGATGAGAGCTGTTGGTGGGAACAATAATTTGTTGTTGTGTGTAATTCAAGCACAGCTTTCAACTGCTTACGTTACAGATAGTTTACATACCAGTAAGCTTGTATATCTGATTTATGGTGCATATACATGTTACCAATGGGATGGCGTTTCAGTTCAAATCTGAAAACTTAATTTTAATTTCAGTTGGACATATAACTGTTGGCCATTGAGCCAGAAGTACATATACCATGTATATGGGTACACTACGTTCTGATTTACATAGCTGTTGTCATAGTAAGTTCATTACAAGTTAGTTTAAGAATAATTGATGTCATATTTGTGTGCTATTTATAGACCTCTTCATCAACCACGCCCACATTTACATGTTGTATTTATAATCATGACATGAACTCATTACTAGAGAGTACTAGAAAACCGCAGGCAGCTGAGCGTGTGTTGGGGTCAGATCTTCAATCCCAAAATGGGAAAAGGTTGAATACTCGAATTATATCTAGTCCCAGGTTAATGGTTAAGGGAAGCTTTAAGGGGGAGGGTTTGTTGGGTGTCATTAGCAGGGTGAAGGTGAATTTTATTTTTTTGAATGAAAGAACAAATTGAAAAAACTGACATTTTATTGTAAGTATTAACTGACTTGTCAGATCACAACTTCATTGGGTAGTTGGAAACAATTTCTGTTAAACACATTTATTTACAAATTGTAGTTTTGAAATCGGTGGAGGAATTTCCACCAGTAGATGTTTTTGAAGTAATGAAGTAAAGAAATATATATTAATCGGCCTGATTTCTATCAAATGAAAATATTCATTAAAATTGTGATTAATTATTTTTTGTATTCTGAAATTTATTCCAAAATTGTTAATTTGTATTAATGATAAGTTGCATATCTCTTGACTGTCAATTGATATTGCAATAATTATTAAGAGTCATTATAACAAAATTGTTTCAGGGGAGGTAATTCATTATTTTTTGAAGAAGATCATGGGTCAAATATTAAAGTACTAAAAATAGTCTGTCAGTTTTGATTGATTATTTTAAGATTGAATTGCTGTTCCATCCTATTAAAATGTCGGTGTAAATACTATAGAAGATCTGCCATAGATGTATGTATATAGCATATATGGAAATTAATTTTATGATAAAGAAAATCTATAAAAAATAAATGCTGTGCCAATATGACTATGTGTTTTTGTTTTCCCTGACAAAGATGATCCACTGGCAGTTAATAAAAAAGTCTTTATAGTAAAATCAAGAGACATTCTTGAAGAGAAAGAAGGAAGAGCTCTGACGGGTAAGGATCCACAGGGTTGAGGCCCTATTTTTCAGAAATTCTTTATCTCCTATATGCTCATTTTCACATAATAAAGAGACCCATATTTGGAACTAGCAGTAATCACATTTTGCATAGAGATACAATGTATACCTGGTAAATAAATATTCAAAACATTTACAAAATGTTACGATTTTGTGAAAAGAGGAAAGATGCACTTTTCAGTGGTAAGGTATGATGAACACTGTTTCAACGTCATGGGAATTGTGCATCCAGGAATTTTGAAAAGAGAGTACAGACAACCTGGAGAGTAATCAACTCTCACACAATAAAAATCTTAAGATATCATTTTACAGGAGAGCGAGAAAAAGAACCAATTTGTTCATGGAAGGATGAAGCCTCTGAATATGGAAACTATCCGACCGTTCTAATGTTATGGCCAGCCTCTTTCAAAATAAACTGAGGTAATGACAGACTTGTTTGCATCTCAATGGTACACTTCTTAGTGTAGAAAATACTATATATTTTGTCAAAACCTTTCTGTTACCACTGGATGTGTATACTCTTTCCTACTTCCTTAGAAGGTAAGGACATCAGTGATTAAAATTTATTTGCTGATGCAGAAAACTAAACGAAGTAATTTGCACTCTATGGCCGTTTCATCCATTTAAGACTCATCAGTAGCACAGGGACCTGAGAATTTGTTACAGCTATATTTAAACCTGAACCAAGGTGTTCAGAGTAGTACTTGTTTTAGGGGTTTAGATCGACTTTCGGTAATCATGTATATATGATCATTGGGGGTGTCATTTTTTACCCAAAGTCGATATAAACCCCTAAAACATGTAAAATTACTCTGAACACCTTGGTGGCTTTGGTCCAACTATAGCTGTAACAAATTCTCAGGTCCCTGTGGTCAGTAGTAGAAATGGTCAAAATTTACCCCATAAAATGTTCCGAAATGCATGTAGAAATACAGGAAAAGGAGAAATATGCCTATAACACCCCTTTTATAAAAGTACACAATTATTGACTTTTGTCTAGTAAACTTATAAATTATGCCAGAATAAATCCCAACTACAAGGCAATTTGCCAATATGTCCGGGACTGCTCGATTACCACCTTCTGTTGTAAAATAAGAAATACCAACTAATGACAGTTGATGATCATATATATATTTTTGTACAAATTTGGTAGGGTTGAAAAGGATGTGCATATTTTAGAAAAAGTGTTTGGCATCCTTAAAATGTTTACACGAATATTCTTGTTTCAAACAAAACGTCCGCTATGATTAAATACGACCTGTGACCGAAGTTGATGGTATGTTTTGGGAATTGCTTGTGTCCTATGTGTAAGGATAATATTATTAACTCATAAAGTTCTATATTTTATTTCAAACACAGTTTGTATGTTTAAGAGATAACAAAAACATTGTCTATCGTTATAAATCTCTGATTTAGATAGAGTTCCTACAGGAATTACTCTATATAGGAGCTGTGTAGGAACTCTATCATTATAAATCTCTTAAACTGAATTTAGATTATAGAATCATTATGAAGACTGTTCAATAATAACATGTATATAAAGCGGAATTTAAATATTGACCGAAAACAATGATTATATGATTTCATTTGTTTGTATCAACGTAGACAAAATGTCTTACCAGGTTATTTCTCATTGTGCAAACCCAGTTAGAATCATCCTCGATATCCAGGGGTTGCACTTACTTTCGATCTCTACAGTCATAGCAACATTGAAGGCACGACGTCAGCTATTTGATTGGTGTCAGGTAAAAAACCACTGAGCAATCACTAAGCTGATACTTGTCCTTTGAAGATTACAGAGGAGCGACACCTGACTTCAAAGCCAGTAAGTTTTACCGTTACGCGACCGAGAGATTCTTTTGATGTACATGAAGTGATCAAACTAGTCTTCTTGTCTCATCCACATGGTGCTGCACACTGAACCTTGGATTTTGCTATGACATATTCCAGGGGTGCAGAGAGCGAAAGTAAGCGTAACCCCAAGAATATCGAGGATGAGTTAGAATGTGCCCCTCTTGTAATGCTAATCAAAGTCACAAATAAAATCAACGGGTCTCGTTTATTTGTTTGTCATGACTGCAGTTTTTAAAACAAAGCACGGGCATGTGATATACTTCAAATGAGCATACCAGTGAATTTTAATAATACACGTGGCTAGAGCTATACAGTTATTGTTTGTTTTAATTGACTTGCATGTAAGTCAATTGAACATACATTTTGTAATAGTCCGCCTAGTGTTAAGAAGCTACTCTACCTTAAGAGGGTCCGTATCTAACGTCTGTGCTGATTGCTAAAAGCTTGGACAAAATATGAGCAAGTGAACGATTTACTTAAATCTCTGAAAGAGAACAGAGGGATTAAGAATATGTTCCGAAAGGGTGTTTTGCTTCATCAGAGACTCCGGCCGTCTTATTCTTGGTCAAAGTCATGAGTGTCACCTTCTTAAGGCGAGAATTGGTGAAGTGATATAAAAACAACCAGGCACACTAATGAGAATGATCAAAAACATCGACCTTCATTGCAAACAAAGAAATCAGTTATTTGTCAATGAGATCATGATGGCTACCAAAACACTTACCCAGTTTTCATCAACCTGCATCTTTCAAAACCCTGTATTGTAAGTTTGTCCGTCAGCAAGTAAACATCTATAATGAAAAGAGTGGTATTCGAATCAAGTCTAAAAGCGTATCCACTGCGACATGTACACAACAGTGCTTCGGAAGCTTGACTGTTACTATCAAGAAAGAGAAAGGTAATGGAAATCGTCAATCTTACTATGGAGATTAGTAGTACGGCGTTTCTGTTGGTCATGGTGTAAGTAAGGATTGGCTGATGAAGAAACGTCTGTAGTTTCCTTGATCTCAAGTTCAGGAAGGTTTATAGAATCGACATTATCAACAATTTTCTTGTTTGATGACAATTTATCGTCGAAATACACAGTATCTGCAGGTGAAATTGAAGAACTGGTTAAGGTGTTTGTTACCTGTTCTTCTGACAAGTTCCTCGTTCAATTCAGCATTATGGAATAAATAGTCAAATGGTTTCGTGTTACGTAATGAAACACGTTTGTAGGATACTTCATATACATTCAGTCCTGCCTTTTGATGTAATGGATGGTTGCTTATGTTTACAAGAGTTACGAGACAGCGTTAACAATCAATGGAAAGATCTTACTTTTTTAAAACAAAACACTCTGCCAGGATACAAAGGCGTCATCTACAATTTGAACTACGATAGGTTTTTTTAAGCAGTAAAAAGCAGAGATATGAACGATAACTTTCATACATATTTGAAATCAAAGTAACATTTTTTTGCGTGTTCACTATTCACTAATGTAGACATTGACAAATATAAAAGTTATTGTGTTAAGACTCTGTAGATAATACGAAAGTTACTAACAGAAATAGGACGCAAGGAGGTACCTGTAGTGTTAAAGAGATGTAGTATTGTTTTCTATTTCTTTTTCTTTTGAGCGGAGTTTAACGTCTTCTCAACAGACAGGGTTATATGAAGACGTGTGCTTAGGGAAACACCCCCGAAAGAGAGAAGATAGAAAAGAACGAAAGAGTTGATAGAAAAGATAGGAAAAGGGAAAAAAATCCAAAGTATTACAATACGGGCAACAAATCAATGCTGTTTTGTTGTGTGTGTCGATATCCTCTTATAGACAGAGAAGAACAAACACACACGCACACACGCACTTACACACACGCACACACGCACTTACACACACGCGCACACACACGCACACACACATTCTGAAAGGTTGGGGGTCCTACATATATCGCCTATTATTGGTTTCTTTATTAATGGGTTACGCTTACTTTCGCTCTCTGCACCCCTGGAATATGTCAAAGTAAAATTGAAGGCACGCGGCTAGCTATTTAATTGGTCTCAAGTATAAAAAAGCGACCAATCCATAATACCACTGTAGGCTTAGTGTACCCAATGATTCCCCTTAATTTGGATTTTTTTTACAAAAACACCAAAGGAGCTAATGACTTTTATGTAATACTTTCTGAAAATAAGATAATTCCAACTGGTAGGAAGAAATGGGTAGAAATATTTGACATTAGGGACAACAAATGGGAGAAAATATATCAAATTCCATTTCGCACAACTACTAATACAAAACTCCAGTGGCTCCAAGTAAGAATTCTCCATCATATTTTGACAACAAATATATATCTATGCAAAGCCGGTCTCTCTAATAATCCTTTATGTGTTTTTTGTAATCTAGATAGGGAAACAATAATTCATACATTATGGGAGTGTGCCATTGTACAAAATTTCCTATACAGTTTTGAAACATTACTAGAAGCTTTAATTATCCCATTTTCTTTTAATAAGGAATCCTTCCTTTTTGGAATAGTGTCACAGTCAGGAATAGGCAACAGACTAGATAATGAAATTTTGATTATGATCAAACACTATATTTATAAAACAAGATGCCTTCAAAACAATTTGTCAGTAAATGCTTTAATTAACAGCATAAAAGACCATTATTCTGTACAAAAATATATAGCATGTTGCAAGGGGGATAATTTTGTAACAAAACTGGAAAGAGAATGGAAAAAATGGAACCACCTCCTGGAATTATAAGCCAAAATTAAATAATTTAATATCATCAAGTCAGCAGATACAATACATCTCCTCCCACAGTATAGTTCTCTTTTTATATTTTGAAAATACACTGATGCACATACATGTAGCCAGCACACACTAAGTTTTAAGGACTTTTTTTGCAGTTATGTCCCTTTTACCATACCTGTATAGAATCTTGCCTGAACTCTAAATATATTTTTTTTGTCCCTTTTTTTGTGAATCTAAGTTGATGTTTCTGTCTGAACTTATTAAAGTTAATT